GGAAGGGGCTGAGCCCTGGCTTCTCCAGGCAATCCCCCAGCCCCACAGAGGGAGGCACCAACCTCAGTACTTGCACCCCACTCAGGCATGTGGGAGGGAGCCAGGGGAGGCAGGCACTAGGCCTCCGAGCAGCCCGTGGCGGCATTCAAGGCAATGGCATTGGGGGGCCCAACACACAAGGCCCCACGGTCTGGAACCTCATCTCCCCAGCAAGGGGAACTCATTGATTCACGTTTCCCAAGTGCACGGAGCCCTTTCACATCTCTGTTCCGTGATGTGGCTCGCTATTCTGGAGCACACTCCGTGCACTCATGTAGCCCTTGCAACAGTACTGGATGCTCCTATTATTGGCCAACACCGTAGCTCAGAGACACGGCCTCTTCATTCACTCCCTGCGCCCCACGACAGGCCGAGCGCTGTGCCGGGTGCGTGTTCTCGCGGAGCTGGCTCGCCAGTACAGGGTCAGTGCACCTCACCCCGCAAGGCAGTGTGCAGAGACTGCGACTGGCGTGTGCACAACACGTGGGTCCAAGAACAAGCGGGCATGTGAGGGCCCCGGGCGAGCTCCATCCCATCATCTTTCAAACCTTCCTGACCACCTGGGATGCTGCTCACTTACATGGCACCTTTGTGCAAAGTAGAAAAAGGTACTTCCTCTGGGTGGACAAATGAGCAGAAAGTAGCCCCTCTGGGCGGTCGCAGCCTCATGGGTGAACCGCCTGGTGAGCCCATGGTGCCCCCCAACCCCCTCTACCAAGCATCTTTGCACTGTGCACTCCTTCCCCTAAACAGAGCAGGGCCCCCGGGGGCGGCTCTGTGGCGATGTGTAACTGGTTCCCCTCCAAGCCGGCAGAGCACAACCCAGAGGCCCTGTGAGTCTTGTCGCAGGGTGGAGGTTCCCAGCCCCCGGACCAGCAGGTGCCTCAGCCCGTGCTGCCGCCTCACAGAGAGCTTCCTCCATAAAGCATCGGGGTCTTTAGTGTTCTTCAGTCGCTGAAAGAAGCAGGATGCTGTCAGCTGCCATAAAAATGTGACCTTTGAAAATTTACAAGAGCTCGGGGTTTAAAAGCTGCTGCGTTAATGATGCATCCTATTAGCATCTCATTAGAGGGAAGCAGAGAGAAGCCTGCCCAGCCCGGTGATGGGCAGACAGGGCCACTCCGCAGCACCAGGCAGGAGGAGGGCTCTCCTCGTCTGCCTCTCTCTGCCCAGTGTCATCATATCAGGGAGCAGAAGCATGGCCAGGAACACTGGCAAAAGGCCAGATAGATGTCTGGGTGGCTTCGCTGATAACCCAGATTATGCAGTGGGAGGGGGCTCCCTCAGCCCTGCCTTCCTCCCCTGGCCTGGGCTGTTCTCCTGGGGGCAGGGGGAGTTCTGTGGCATTCTTGTGCTGGCAACCCCCTGGCAAGAAGGGGAACTTGGGCAGCCTGTTCAGGGTGGGAGAGACCTGGAAAGCCTTTAGTGGAGTCACAGACCTTTGGGGACTCTGGACCAAGGGAGAAAGTCTTAACAGGAGCTGACTTCAGAACTGGAGCCATGGACCCGCACACGATGCCCCAGAAGCCTCTAGAATTTGGGGACTATGTGTTTACTTTGGGCCTGGAGCCCCTTGCGGGAGGAAGGGCTCTGGCCTGGCCAAGCTGACTCACATCCCCGGCTACAACATTGCTCCCTGACCTGGGCGCCCAGGCGCCTGGCAAAGTGCACAAGCGTGTCCAGTTTTTTTCTGGAGGGAGTAGAGAAAGGAATGTTCATTTCATTGTTTTAAAGAAATAAATAGAAATTTCTGAGCTGTGACTTGCTCATAGCTTCAGAAGTTGCTTGGGCCAATTAGAATGAGTGGCCTTATTTATCTTTCTTGAAGGAAAAAGAGAGACCCTGTTTTCCTTCTCACAGCAGAATGGCTTTCTTGTACATAAGAATTTGCTTGTACTATTCATGACAGACACAGCAGGCCTGTTGGGGCCTCACCCAGTTATCTGCCCCCACCCTGCCACTCAGGGCGCCCCCCTGCACCCGGCTTCCTTCTGGAAGCTAACGGGGGCAGTTTGCACAGCTGAGGGCTGCGCTCCCCAGGCAGCAGCCTCCTAAGGGCAGGGCTGAGCCTCAGTCATCATGTCCCCTGGGGCCTGGGGCTGGGCCTGGCAGGAAGCAGGGGCTGAGTGTCAGTCATCTCGTCCCCAGGGCCTTGGGCGAGCACCGAGCAGCAGCCCAGTGCTTGTTTACTGAACACACCAACTAACCAGCAAATGCACAAGTGAACGACCTGGCAGGAGTGTCTTAGAGCCAAGGGACTAAGCCCTTGAAAAAGTGTGCGGTTTTTCAAGTCCAGGACCCCACCCCCAATTTTAGGTCAGAAACAGGAACTCCTGAAGTTTTAGAGTTCAGAATCTGGTTACCCACTCTGGAGGAGGAGACCCCCACCCCGTCTCCCGGTGGCAATGTCTGATGTAAGGGCCCCGGACCAGAGCCTCCAAGTTTCCAGAGCCCTTCCCTACCCTGTCAAAGCACCAGGTTGGGGGCACGGATTCTGATTCTGCAGGGAAGAAATGGCAAGGGTGGGAGGACCTGGAAACCACACCTACCTCTCTGGCCTGTGAAGCCTCCAGCAAGCACATCCCTTGCCCACCTGCCAGGGTGCAGCAGAGAGGGGCTGCAGCGCCCCCTACTGGCAGGTCGGGTCTCTGCACTGTCAGTGAAGGAGGGTGCCCCAGGAGGCTGGGGTGTCACCACTCAAACTTCACCCCCACCCAGGGCCCTGAATAGGACAAGGCACAGGCTCCTTCCCTTTCGGATGCCGCCGGTTACGGGAAGCCACCTCTGCACCTCTGAGCCCCCTAGCACCCAGGGGAACCTGGGAATGCAGAGGAGGCTTGCAGACAGGGCACACTGGAAAGCTGTTTAGAGAAGCCACACTTCTGTTCCATGAGTTCCTGACGGGTGAGTGTGGCTAAATCCCCAGCCTCCGCCACAACACCCTTCCCCCCCTGCACCCCCAC